TGTGTGTGTGTGTGTGTGTGTGTGTGTGTGTGTGTGTGTGTGTGGTTTTTTTGTGGGTGTGATTTTTTGCAGGGAGCGATACCAGGGTTCGAACTCAGGATCTTGTGCTTACGATGTTGGCATGGTGCCACTGAGCTAAATCCCTGCCCCTAAAATAATTTTTTATGATAGAAAACCTAGCTTCTATTGTTAGGCTACAAGGAACTACTGAGAGTTTGCCAGTTAGTTCATCTGGGACATTTTCTCCTACATAGAACCATTTGGTCCCTCTTTAGCACATCTATGCCCTGCACCAAAAGGAATAAGCCCCGCTTTCAGCATTCCCTTTGTGTAAATCAAGATGCTGTACTGTCATTGCTTAAGTCTCTTCAGTTACAACTGACTCTTGACATTTGAAACCAAACAATAATTTCTTGAGCACTAACCACTTTGTGGGAAGCATTGTACTGACTTCCTTTTTAAATCTGTACAAATGAGATGAATGAGCACAGTCTATTTAAAGGCTCTTGATTAGTAATCTCAGCAGCCTCCAGTCCCAGCAATTCAACATGTAATGTGGTATTCACTGATAGTGTACACCAGAGAAACCGGCAGTACCAACTACATTTACAGTAATACACTCAGTGTTTTATATATCTGTCTACACATAAGTCACTGGTGTTTCCAGATGTTGGGAGTAGGGTTGCCAGGGAAATAAAGGATGCCTAGTGAAATCTGAATTTCTGATTAAAAATAAATAAATTCTTATATGCTCTCAGCATATAAGAAGTTGTTTAGCTAAATTTCAGATTTAATTGTGTCTTATAGTCTTATCTGCTAAATCTAGTAACCCTAATTGGAGGTGATAGGAGTTCTGATTATTTTAACCCCATAGTCCTTAAGGTTTCCTATCAAGAATCAATATAAAGATACTCACTGGGAATAGTTACAGAGGCAAGAGCTCCAACCCAGCGTCTTCTAAACTTCTTCCTCTGATTGATGTACTGTAAGAGGCTATAGGACAGGTAAGTCAGAAGGTGCAGAACAAAAAACCTTTATTGTTAGTGGGATTCAACTGCCTGACATGGCTGTAAGGGATGGATCTTAATCCAGAAGCAACTTGGAATTTTTGGAATGGCCTGCTTTTTCCATCTGTGTTAAGCATCAAGTGACTGCAGAAGTGATCATATCTACTGCCTGTGTGAGCATTAATGGTTCTGTGCATCCAGTGATCAAGGAATGAGGTCTCGGGAAGGCTAAGTTATTTTGGAGTGTATGTGACAAAAGCCTGCATCTTGGGTTCCAATTCTGGCCTCACAGTAACCAGTTCAGTGCCTCAAAGATATGATGTAGCATACATCTTTTGACCCCCCTTTCCTCATTTTTGAAAGGGTTGAACTGTATGATCTCTAAATTGACATCTGACTCTGAAATTCTAAATGTAGAAGTGCATAACCATAAAGCTTCATCATCTCTGTACCAGAGAGAGAATGGGGAAATTTTCTTATTCTAAATATAAGATGCCACGGCCACATGTTAACACTTAAACTCATGCATTTTAATTGTTCTGCCTGGCAGCTTCAGGACACTTATTTTTGTGAATCTCAGTATTGCCTCTTAGAAACAGTATTTGCTTTTTGGAAAGGAAAATGTAAGAGATTTTTTAAGAGTTCTGTTTGTTTTTCAATTCTGTGTAGTAAAATGAATCTTTGAGGATTTCATGGCAGTTAGGGGTGGGAGCAAAGAATGGTTCCCTTTAATGTACAGTTCCCAGCAAAGCCATCAGTGAAAATACTGGAAGCTACACTGACCCATCTGGTAAAAAGACAGAGCCTTACCTCAAAGAGTTACAGATAACACCATCTCTAGATCCCTCAGTGAAAGCAGCTACGTTCTCATGTTCTCATTTCAGGAGACATGGCAACTCTTTGTACAAGACAGGGAAATCCTGAGTCTCATTTCCTGTTGCTACCAGAAAGGCATGCAAAATGAAGAGCCTCTTGCAGTGTGAGGGCTGCATTTAAACTTCTTTCACAATGGAGATCGAACATTTTGAAGCATTTAGTACTAATAGAGTCTAAAGAAGGGTTTGTCAAAGTCGGTTACAAACCAAAATTAGCATTAGAATTTGCAGCAATTTATAGGCAAAAAGTACTAAATGGTTTAGGTGTAGGGGCTTATCCTATGTTTGACTTCTTTCTTTTTGGAAAGCACAGACCATGACAATATTAGGTTTGCCTCACAGTCCTAAAGCAGCCTTGTTGTGGTAGGAAACAAGCCAGCTAGGCACAGAATAAGCAATCCTGTATCTTCGACCAAATTCCAGAACATTTCTTACCTGTCTATGACCAAGTTCCCATCATTGTTGCGGATGCCTGCCCACATGTCCCACAGCTCACTCTCAGAGGGTCGAGTATATGGTCCAAAGACTGGGGTGAGACTGGAAGAGAGTCCAAAATGCAGAAAGGTAAGTGTGGGGAGAATTTAGAATGCTAAATCTGACTAGAACGTCAGTGGTCACACGGTCTGACCCTTAAGTGATTTATGAATTCCTTCTACTTCCTTGGCAAGAAGCCAGCACTTTTGCTTGAAAATACCAAACCTCAGGACTGTCCCCAAACTATAATTATTCCTAGGCTACAGTCAGTCTTTCATAATGACTTACCCTCGAGTGAAAACAAAGAAGTTCATCAACCTCGTGAGGATGGGTGAGAGCACGCCTCCATCTTTGAGTAGCTGTAGGTAGTAAGTGGAAGAAAAAAAAAAAATTAAGGATCCAGAGAAAGATGGACAGTTAACCAGGTTAAAAGGATTTATACTAAGAACTAATAAGGCAGTTAGCCAAATCTACTGAAAATTTTGGTACATGGCTTTATTTTTTCTTTCTGTATTGCCAACCCACATTTTTCTTTCATGGAAGATATATATTTCAAATTCCTTTAGAGATAATTTACATTTTGCTAAATCCCCAGTACTTTTTTTTTTTTATAAATGAGCTCTCTGCTGCCCAGGCTGGCCCCAGACTTCTGGGCTCAAGCAGTCTTCCTGCCTCAGTCTTCCAGGCTGCTGGCATTATAGGTTCAAGCCCCTTTGCCTAGCCATAAATCCTCAAGACTTACGTTTACACCAGGATTCCAGTTTATTCAGACTTAATGCTTATGACATGAGTCTTTACATAGTAGTATTTCTTCAAATACTGTTCATCTTTCTTTTTTTTTTTTAATTTAATTTATTGGTACATTCTAGGTAGACAGTACAGTTACATTCATTACTGGGATCTTGTACCTTTACATGCCAGGTCTTGGTTCTCATTTTTTCCCCTTGTCCCCACCCTCCCTTCACCCTCCCCTCCCCTCCCCACTTCAAACACTTTAATTCCATTTTTACATTTTCTCATATTTTTTTCCTTTTCCCTTATTCCCCCTTCCCTATCCTTCTCACTGCTGTTCATCTTTCATCACCAGAAATAGTTTCAGTTTTATGTAGAAGCCACTTCTTAGGCAGATTTTATCTGCCTGAGCAGGGAAAAATTAACTTCATTGATGTGAATCCATAAGGAAGAAGACTTTAATTATGGTCCATTTTACATTTTCTCATATTTTTTTCCTTTTCCCTTATTCCCCCTTCCCTATCCTTCTCACTGCTGTTCATCTTTCATCACCAGAAATAGTTTCAGTTTTATGTAGAAGCCACTTCTTAGGCAGATTTTATCTGCCTGAGCAGGGAAAAATTAACTTCATTGATGTGAATCCATAAGGAAGAAGACTTTAATTATGGTCCATCACAGCAGATATGGCCATTAAAAGGTCCCCACTCTATTATGTCAGCACAAGTCTTAAAACAGGCTCTTTTCAATAAAGTAACCAACCTTTTGGAGAAGGAGAGGACGGTGAGTCTCGGGAAAGATACCTTTAGAAGAAAACATTGCATTTAGTCTTGTACCAAAACTTAGTTCAAATGCAGACCCATTACTGGAGACTACTGATCCTATTCACTGTCACCTCTGAGGCATTTAGTGCTGAAACAGAATTGCAAATAAAAACTTAGTACAGTCAGTCACTGCATGACAGTATTTCAGTCAACAAGGGACTGTATATGTGTATCTCATTAAGCAAAGCATGACTAGTGTCACATAATTCTCCAAGCAATTCCATATTCAACTGTGAATTAAATTGGAGAAATAGTTTATACTGTCATCCATAATGCTGATAACTAAGCTGTGGCTCCCCTTAACATATCCTCCAATTGCTCAGAATGGTGGTGTTAATGATCTGGGCTGCCAACACAGAGCAATTGTTCAGTAAGTATAAGTCTTAAACAAAACAACAAAACACCTAGTTTTTTCTTTTTCATATTTTTCCAGAGTCAGTGGGAGAAACAGAGAACTCTTACTCTTCCAAGCTGTCCATAAAGCACTTGGGACATTTAGATATTCGTGGATTTACAAGATGTGCTCAATGGTACATAAAACAAGCATCTCTGAAAGGTCTAATTCAGGGTCACTAATTTCTAACTGAAACTGAGTGCTAGCATCTAATTAAGACTTTTAAGAATCTAATACTAATACCACAGACATACTAGAAACACCTGTGGCCTTCTAGCTTGGAATCTATTCTTTCATAACCCACTGCAGTTCTTACAGATACAGCAAAACAGCATTTGCACTCAGTACTTCTAGTCAGTGTTACTGGACTCACCATTAGGTCTGTCTAATGCACTGCAAAAAAATATGACTACAGTGCAGCTTCTTAGATTCCATTCAATATAATCACTTAAATTTGTACTTCTGTTGATCTCATTTTCTATATTTAAAACAATTCTGAGAAAAGGTCCATAAATATTATCGGACCATCAAAGCAGTTCGTGACACAAAAGGTGAAAGACCTAGTTTCATTGTATATATGGTTATCAGGTTGTCTCTTATCACCCCATGACATCTAAAGTGGCCCTTCTAGGCTAAATCCCAATTCCACCTACCACTAAGACAGTTACCTCCATTCGACAGACAGAGACTCTTTATGGTAAGCCGACCAGACCGATTCTGCTTGTACCTAGAACAAGGGATGAGGAAACATGTTGCTGAGCAGACCAATGCAGTAACGAAGACAGTTCCCCCCAGGGAAAGGGGTAGGATGGATCTAGGAACTACTTTATTTTTTCAGCGTTGTAAGTTAGGGTAACAGAAGTCTATGGCTTCACTGACCTATACAGCAGTTCCTGAGCAACAATATCGCCATAATCATGAGACAATAGATTGATCCTGCGGTTTTGGAGTCCCAGGTGCCGCAAAAGCGCCTCCACAATGCTGGCTTGCTCAAATATGGAATAGTGATGTGGCCTCTAAGGAAGGGAAAGGCCAGATATACAGGATAAAGTCACAGGTGCAGATCTGTGCTGACCTATTCCACCACACCTATCCCACCCCCCACACCAGCCCCATATAGGTTCTGCTTACTGGTTTGTCACTGAATCCAAAGCCTAAGAAATCAAGAGCAATCACTCGATGAAACCTCAGGGTCAGACCTTCCCAAATCTATAGGAAAAAAAGCGTGATTTGGATTTTCTACTCCTGTGCCACCCCTCCACTCACAGCAACAAGACACTTCATCCCAATCTCAATTAAACACAGATTTGGATAAAGCAAGTTACTTGATAAAGTCTCATGAAGCCACAATAGGCCCCACAGATGATTCTCTTTGAAAGTGCTTGATTCCTAGTAATTAATCTCTATCAAGGACAGAACTAGCATTTTTAGCTTGGCAATGATCCTTCCAGACTGCCAAAGAGCTTTTTACTCCAATAGAGTAAATGAGAAAGAGTTCAATGTTGATGCTGTATTATTAAGCAATTCAAATATGCAAGAGCCTTTTAGTGCTGACAAGAAAATCCTTGACTTAGGATTTTTTAAAGATACAGTAGGATCTAGAAATCATTACCTTATACCAATCATAGCTGGAAGTTGGAAAGCCATGTAAAAGCACAACTATCTCAGGACTTCCAACAACACCCAAAGAGTCTGGGAAAAAAGGAAAGATCAGTTAGGCCAATTCTCTGAAAAAATAACCTTTTAAGATGTTAAATATCTAAGTAATCTAACAGTTCAAAGGACAAGAATCTGTTACTAAAGTAATGACATTAAAATGATATATTGCTTTTTTTAAATTCAAGCTTATTGCTTTAAGAACAGGCACTTTCTCTTTTGAATCAGTATATTTAAAATGTAGCATAGACTTTATATGCAAATATTCAAAGGCAGGTTGCTCACTTTCACCCAGATTTTTCTCCAAAAGCATATCCTAATTTCTTCCTCTATTTTGCATTATTAATATGTAGACTGTTTTTCACAGTAAAAAGCAAACTTTCAAAGTTAAAGACATAATTACAACAAAAGCCAAAAATGCTTTCTACCTTATCACTAATTTATCACAAAAATTCTCTAAGGTATGGCAGCTTCTCCCAGTGAATGCCTTAGCTTATGCTGTTGGTCTAACAATTATTTCAGAAGTGAACCAATGCAACATCAAAAGCCTAATGCTGTGTGTTGTAAAATTCTATCAACTACAAAAAAGGGTCAATCAAGGCAGATTTTAAATGTGTATTACAATATGGATCATTAAATAGCTTTAAAGTTAGCCAAACAAAATATTTTGCTAATAGTATTAGATTAAAACTAATACATTCATATACTGCCAATAGCTTGAAAATTTGGTTAGTTTTTAAAAATAATTTAATTAGTACCAATTAAAATTTTTATGCACTGTAGCCTAGGAGCTTTAGTCTTAATCAGTGCAATGCCAGATATTGACAATCTGGAAACAAACCAAACAACTATCGTAAAGAAAATTATATACTTACACTTAATTGAATATAGCAAATGAGAGGAGGTCAGGAGCAATAATGAAAAACGGTTTATGACAAACATTTTTCGTTATTGCTCTTGACCCCCGCCCAAAAGAAATGTTTTCCAATCTTTTCCTCAGTTTCTTCACCTATGAAATGAGATTAGTGGCACCCATCTCCAAATGCTATTGTAAAGATTAAATGAAACAATGAAATTTGAAAATGTAACTCAATTCTGGCATATGATAATTACTTGATAAACAGTCATAATAATTATCAGCAAATTAATTTATATAACGGAAAGATTTAAATCATTTGGGAACACATGACAAATCATGTTTATAGAAAACAATTCAATAAAATGAAATCAGGGAGGGGAGAAACAACCATTCCGTCTCTGAATATCGAACATACTACCTGACACTAGGGGCGCTCAAAAGAGAAAACCAATATCTGAATACATATTAGGCTGAGAAAATACTTTTACTAAAAAGTCAGGTTACAGAGATTGTAATCTCAGTTTTATTCCCTAACCTTCAAGCATAGTACATAAAAGGGCTATTCTTCCCTATCACTAAGGGACAAGAGATACCAAGGGACATAAGTATCTCAGCTAGGACCTAAGTGACCCACACCTTCGGGGTCTTCCAGTGGTCACTTCTTACCTTGGTAGAATATGCGTAGTCCCTTGTAGGTGAAAAACTTGCCAGAAGTCTTCCATGAGTGCAGGGCAGGGGAGAGCTGGGGGGGTGGGATGTGTAAGTAGGCAGCAAGCAGGGGCATAGCCAGGAGCCCTACCTGGACCCACCACTCCCTCATCCTGTGGAGAAAGGGTTGGGGGGGTATTGTACACATCCGCAAACCAGAAGTGACAGCACTGAGTAGGAAACTTCAGTACCAAGCAATGACTACTGCTCCCCATAAGGACCATAGCAGAAAGCTTCACAATAAGAATGTGACTGCCTCTGCCTGCTATGGCAATCACGTACTTGCTCACCAGTCTAGTTTTAAGAGAAAAAAAGCATTTCGATATGTAATCTACTTCCCTCCCCTAGCTTCTCCCTGTGAGCTCTTCATGATACCCACTAAAGAGGTTTCACTGGCTTTTATCAAGTTTTTCCAGGGAAGAAAAAATTTCCCTCATATTTACTTTAAAAGTTCTACCACCTACTTAAAAGCCCTCTCCAGTAAAATGTTTATATGCAAGGTACTAATGTCTTAAAGTGTGCGTAAGTGAAATATCAAATCCTTAAGCACAGAGGTGTTTGTAATTTTTAATATTTATCAACCTTCTGGCCTAAGTAAAGCCCTATTGAGCACTACTGTCTGGATTTGGGCTGAGAAACTGTTCAGGGCAAAGAGTGTGTAAAAACCAGACGATAGCTGTTGCACAGTATATTCCAACCATAAGCAGCTTTGTCATGACACCAAATATCTAATATCTTTGAGAAGTCTGGGCAGCTGATTACATTTCTGCTTTTCTTAGTAGACAGCTGAAGAAATGCCCATTTATTTAATTTCATAGGGTCTGCCCCCTGAACTCCCCCACCCCACGATTAGGCAGAGCTCATACCTGGCATGTTGGAATTAGTTTTGTCTTTGGAAGGAAGCACTGGTTTGTACACCTAGCCTTGCCATTCACAGAACTTCAAAGGTTCATCCAGGTCAGTTTATCCACATTGACTACAAGTGTTGAAGAGGAATTAGAAACAATTTCCTCTGTATCAGTCTGTGACTTCCAATGGTCACCAGGGAAAGAACTATGACAAGTTTTCTCGAAATAGGATATAAACAGTACCCTCCAAAACTAAAAGCATTCAAGAGAAAAGCTACAAATAAAGGAAATCAATCAATAAAGTCCTAGTGGACACACACCCTACCACGGTATTACCTGTAATCTAAACCCCAATACAAACTAATCCAATTCAAAAAAAAAAATTTTTTTTTTAACTCAAAATAAACTGATGGTCCCACAGTGCTAAAATAATCATGCTCCTGGGACCGGGGATTTAGCTCAGTGGCATCACACTTGCCTCAAAAGCACAAGGTCCTGAGTTCAATCCCCCGGACCAAAAAGAAAGAAAAAAATAACCATGCCCCTTAGAGAATCTCAGCCCCCCTGTTTCTGCCTTAGAGATTAGTAAGGCAATCTATACCTCCTCCTGAAGTTATCTGTCTGTAAAACAGATACAATTCTACCTTTTAAGGTAATACTAGGAATGAGTTGAAAAGTGCTGGAACCTGATGTCTATCAGTCTGTTCCCTGAAACAGTAACAGGCTACATCCCAATACCTCCTTGAAAGGTAAATGACAAAAGGTGTTGCGTTTCGGTTATTTTCTGAGCGCACTCTGTCCTGTCTCATTTCATACATTTTCGCGTTGCCTCTTGTAGCACCCATTCACCATTCCAGCAGCTGAATGTGCAGTGACTCAGCAGAGCTAGGGATGGGCTCCAACAGCGGCAAACTAAGGGGCTTCCAGCTAGCACTGGGGAGTTGTAAAAAACGAAGCATCTGACACTCGCACTCTTACTCAAGCTCACACGCTGCACTCCCAGAAAGGAAAGACAAAACCCAGCAGGGAGCCATTCTCTGTCTTAATTACCTCAGTAAAAATGCTCCGAGAACATTTCAGGATTTTTATCAATCAGGCAATCAGTAGACAAAATAGATTAAACATTTTTTGGTTGACTCTTCATTATCTGATCCATGATTTGAGAGTATGCATTCAGCAAAATCCAGTAACAAACTTTGTGGAAATTAACCTTCTGCACCTTGATTTTTTCATCTTGTAAATGGGAAGGGTATTATCTAATACCACCAAATCTGCCCACCTGACGGCATCGCAATGAGAAGACGCACTACCTTGGAAATCTAAACCAAAGCAAATACCTCCCAGTAATACCATGACGACAGTTTGGTCGCACTCCTATTTCCCCTGCACTTCGTAATGACACCCGAAGAATACTAAACGCCAGGAGTCTGGCGAGGTCCAGGTACAACTACGCTGTCCTCGGTCACTGCGCCGTCAGGGTCTGGAAAGCTTGAATCAAACCGCGGCAATACCCACATCTCGAGATCCTAAGTCGCGCCGCGGCAATTCTGAAGGGTCTTAAAATCCTAAACTGGACGATGTCAAACTCTACAAATTCCAAATCTTGCTACAGCGCGAATCAGGTTAATTCCTAAATCCCACCTGGGCGTTACCATGGCTAGAAATTCTAAATCATGTCATAGTGATGACTAAAGCTAGAAATCCTAAATCGCCCCAGGGCAATAGCAGGGTCTAGAAACTAGGGAGATGCTGAGGTCTAGAAATTCTAAATTGCGACACGGCAATAGGTACATCTTTAAAATCCTAAAATCCACCAGAGCCATTTAAGGAGCTAAAAATCCTAAGTAATGCCACAGTGGCAGACGGGGTCTAAAATCTCCAGTCCACACAAAGGTAACGCAGTACTACAATTTAGAGACCCTAAAACCACCAGGGCGAGGCAGTGATCTGAACATCCTAAATCAATTGGGAACACTGCAGGGTTTCCAAATCCTAAGCCAGGGAGACCCAGAGTCCGCTTCTACCGAGGGCAGGAGCAACTCCTCTTCAAGGCAGCAGCACTGCCGCGGGCCAGGTAAGGTTTTCAGCTTGGCCCTGGTCGACCACACCCCCTCACAACCCCGTAGAGGCCGCACCCACCTGCGGAGGCGATCTCGGCGCACCATGGCCGCGTTATCCCATGCCGCCCGCCGCAGGGTTGCGGAGCTTGGGGCGCGCGGTGGCACCCGCAG